TAATTTTATGTAGTTGAAATCATGAGTCAATTGAAGCTAGATATAAACTCACTGAAGACATTGGTGAACGGTTGCTCAATTTCATGGATTTGTTGAAGTTAGACATTTACACCGTTGGAAGCCGGATCAATGGTCTAGTGGTTAAGCGCTTGCGCGCGAGACTGATATTTCCTGTAATCGAATCTCGCGAGGCGGGATCGTGGAAGCGCACTGCTGAGGAGTCCCAAAATAGGACGAAACGGCCGTCCAGTGCTTCAAGGTTTCCTGTGGTGGTCTAGCTCGGATTGACTCATGATTTCAATTATATAGAATTCATTCAATTTAAATTGTTATTTTCATGGAAATCTCGGTTTTTATTTAAACATTTGGGTCGCGTTACACTACGTATACTGTGCTCATATTACGCTTACATTTCATAGGATTAGTTGTAAGTTTGAGTCGTTTCAGCCTGTTACTAATGGGTAAGTTCAATGTATTATAAGTAGAGGTTGGTGACGGCTAGTAATGAAATCCAGGACGAATGTTTTATCTTCTTTAGAACCCATTAGATGGATGTGCCTGTATCCGAAAATTAATATCCACTCTAGAACTCGACCACAGTATCGTTTGCCTCAAATGCAATCATGTTATCCACTTAGTTACGGGTTTCAAATAACCAGATAGAGATAGTGTTTCATGTGAATGGTACTGGATCCCACTTCTAGCTATCGTCCACCTCTGCTTATAATGCTTGTATCATAATGTCAAATGAAGACAGATCTTCTCTTATCAACTAACAGCTGACACATATTCAAGGTTCCAACAGAATTAAGTCCAATAAATCAATCCAGTTGTTCACAGATAATTATTGAATAGATCAAGAATACTAACATTTTTCAAATATTGACAAATAGATGTATAATATTTTATCAACTACACGATATGTTACAATAATATCAGGTATTTTAATTCGGTAAAGCTTTCTATCTTTTCAGTATGCATTAAAGTAAACAAATAAATATGAAGGGGTTTTGTGGAGATTACAGTATTTTCATAGTTGAAAGCATGAGTCAATTGAAGCTAGACCACTAAGGACATTAAAATCATCGGACGCCGGCTCAGTAGTCTATCGGTTAAGTGCTCTGGCGCGAGACTGTTAGGTCATAGGTTCGAATCTCGTGAGACGAGATCATGGATGCGCACTGCTGAGGAGTGCCACAATAGGACGAAACGGCCGTTTAGTGCTGCCAGGTTTTCCATGTTGGTCTAGCTTCAATTGACTCATGATTTCAACTATGAAAATAAATATGAAACCATAATGATCATTTAAAAAATAAATAAAGTTCTCAATCATTCTATCATTAATTTTAACTCATTTTCACGTCATATTGTTATTCATTATTCACCTTGAGCAGTATGTCATGTGATCAAATTTACCTTAAGTAACGCTATAAACATACACAAAAAATAAATTATTTAGAAAGAATTGGAGAGAAGGAGGGAGAGAGAGCGAAAGATAGAGTAAGAACAAATACTAGACTCATTGTAAAGAATAAATATAAAAACATTTTGCAGGTGAATGAAGCAAAAGGGATGTAAAACTATTCTTACTTTATGACCAGTTGTTATGGTAACACAACTAATTCTATTTCTATCCGTTTTTTGGTTAGAGATTTTATATTACTTAGAGCATCTAGAAATAATCTTATATATCAAATTATGATATGGATTTTTTATTTAGATGAAAATGTATTGATATCATTGGGGAAGGATAAGATACTATTGAGTCGTTATATTAAACATTATAGCGGGTTCGTTGCCTTACTAACAACTAAGAGATAATGAGTTGAATAAGTGTTTAGCGTAATAAATACATTTTGACAGTAATGTTATCTAAGGGTTAAGGAATCTCTTTTTATGACCAGCGAATCCTGTATTCTATCCTCGAAGGAGAGTTGTATATAAGAACTGTTTGGGAATACCATGCTAAGACGAAACACCGGTCCCGTGTTTTCCAGTGTTCAATGGTTGTTTAATTAAGGTTTGTTTATGAGGAAAATAACGAAATTAAATACTATTCACGAACCCTTCACTCTGTTAATAAAATCATTCTCTCAAGATGTATTTCCTTGAGTTCTAGTGAGAAGTCATCATCACCGTAATTCAATACCACGAATCGAATAAAGATAGGAATGTACATAATTGATTAGGCTTTGATCAAGAGATTTGATGATGCTATGTTTGATCTTCAGTAAATTGGTGGATTTACACCACTGAAAAGCTGTTTATTAAGACGAAACAGCTGTTAGGTGCTATCTAACTTTTAATGGTACTCTAAGTGAAACTTATGTATGATTTATGCAATTTACAAACGAAAATGAATATATTGGATACTACCTCAACTGTATTTAGCTATTTTGTTCTTCAGAAATGTTCATGAACATCTTTGTTCATTTCATCAACTCTGAGATGCAGGTACATCTAGCTGACGAGTTCCAAACAGGACGAAACGTGCATCCTGGATTCCACTGCTAGCCACTACCTATCTTGGCTTATAACGCTTGTGAATCAAGGCTATATCGAGGCAATACGTACAGTATGCACATATGCCAATTAGAGACTGATCAGTTGCAATCCTAAACATCAATGGGAAGATTCAAACAAACAATACTAAATGAATTTAATTATCTTTCCTTTTTTTTATTGGAAAGAGGTAAAGGTCTCTTGAACAATCTCTCAACAGAACTGTCCTTAAATTGAAACAATTCAATGTTTATCTCTATATAATTATTGTTAGGGAGAAAGGATAGTTCATAATCAATTAATTAGAAAAAATAAACACTGAAAATTATCATCCCTATTAGTATTTAATTCATAAACTAAGCATAACAACTAAATTGAGTTCAATTAAACTCAATAGAAAGGTAAAGCAAAACGAAAAACAAAAAAAAAAGAAAAAAAAAGAAGAAAAGAACAGAGAGATAGGCGTAACTCGGCAATAGAAAATTTTAAAAAAAAAAAGATAATTTCTTTTATATATGATTTCTTCATTGTTCTACTGTATTTTTATAATCAGTTAATTAAATATAAATACAGAAAAACAAAATCGATTGAAATGTAAAATTCAATATAAAAGTACAAAATAAGGGAGGTTCATTCAGTGTGTTGGATTATTTGGTCATGGAGCTTTTATTATTCATCTGAATGAGATCATCAGCATAAACATCCATTGAATAGAAAAAAAAAGGTTCTATGAATGTTTTGTTTAAATTTGTTGATTTATTAATGGTACAATTCCTAAGGTTAGGCATTTGGTTTCTATATATTAAATGGGTTTAGGGAGGAGACGGGTACTAGGTAAACATGGTAAATCGATTGATGAAATAGTGAAACTTAATCATTTGAGATGGCTGGGACACGTGCTACATATGCTCAACCACCTACTGCCCGACGTGCAATGTTTTATGGCATAAGAGTAGGTTGGAAAAAAGCTAGGGGCAGTCAGAATAAAACGTGGCACAAATCCATGAAGTCATTGACGAGTGGACTGAGCCATGTTGGTAGGTGTAGACTACCTGGTTGGGATTCGCAAGATGATAGCAATCGGTGGTTAGAGACCTTGAGCGACATGATATAAAATCGCTTGCAATGGCGAAGGTGCATCCACTCTTTATGTTCTGCCAAATTCTAATTTTCTGAATTCTTCATGTCTCTATCTTTTTTCTCTTTCCAAATTTATTTCACTGAATTATACTCCTTGAATAACCTCTTCAAACCCTAATATTTCGGATTACTGCTTACACTTTTACCACTTCTACCGCTATGAGATTTGAATCGACAACTGCATCTCTGTGCTAATGTGGTATGGCAACTTGAACTGATGTACGTATGTACTAAGTTCTACGTTGTGACTGACTTGGGGAGGAACATTAAGTTTTTTAAGATCTGTGATATATAACTTAAGCTTACTTTCAATGAGATATATGATTCATTTGAGTAAGCTGTGAAAGCTTCCATATAATGAAGCTCAAAGAAGTTATGCATTCTTAAATTGAGTCATGTTGATCATTATGTTAACGTTTTGTAATCTTTCACTGTCGATTTTTGAGACCTCAATTGATCAGTCCCCATTTCTATATGGGCATCCTGAACAGATAGCGTTGACACAAACGTTTTAGTATATTTGATATACAACTAGAAGCAGAATATAGAACACACGTTTCGTCATGGTTGAGACTTGTCAATTGGGTGTACCTGTATTCCAATGTTGATGTTTATATTGAGACTGGAACCCATTACCTTGCGCCCTTGTCGACGGGGCTGGTGAGCCCGAATATCAACAAACTTATTCAACGAGTATGAAACTACTGATGTATATGGATGTAAAAGTTTAATTTCTATTGTTGTTGATATAAAGGACTGTTTTTGTTAGCCTCTGTTGCTATATATGCACCTCGAACGGATTAGCTCAATATTACCTGTTCAATTCTCAATGTGAACAACAACACTAAGATCCAGGTATATATAAGTGACGAGTCCCAAGTGGAAAGGAATGCGTGTCCTGGATTAAAATGATGGTCAAAAACCCAACCTTCATGAAATCTGCATTTCAATGGAATATTCTGGCAGTTGACACTCAGGGTACACACCTTGATTAATTCTCATCCTTCATATCAACTTCAGAGAAACTCAAACCCTTACATATACATCTAAAATTCGATCGTACTGTTGAGAACAATTCAATCCTACTTAATGCTTCCAGTTTATACAAAAAGAAATCATTCCAGAATTGGCTCGTATTTAATTGAAAAAAAGTCAATATTGATTAAGGTAAATATTGAGGTGTTAAACGTTTACGTAATAAACATGCACATCTTTTTTCTTACTAATAAAGAACAAACTATGCGAAATCATCAAAAAAGAACCGGTACCATAAGTGTTTTCAGAATCATGAATAAAAAAAAGATAACAATATATATATTTCTAGGTCACCCACATAAATACATCACGCGCATACCTACCTGATTGTGAAATCATCGATGAGGGTACCCGCATTTTTCCACCTAAATTTGACAGTTTATTTGTTGAATTATGAATGCCTATTTTCGATTCACCATCATTATTGTAATCATTAGTCGGTGTAGTTTTAATTGCTGAGGAAAACGAATTTGATGCTGGAGATTTTGATGATGATGATGATATTGTTGTTGTTGTTGTCGTAGTGGTGGTAACTGGAACAAACAATGATGAATGTCTTGATTTATTTGCCAGATTGTCATCAAAAAAATTATTATTAGAATTGTATTTTGAATTGTTTGATGATATAGAAGTATACGACTGTATTAAAGATTTAACAACTGAGTTGGATGATGATGAGGATGTTGTTAGTATCGGAGTTGTCGTCATCGGTGTCTCTGTAGTCATTGTTGTCTTTATCGCAGAAGGAGATGTTTGAATGGAAGAACATCCATCAGTTGACTTTATTTCTGAACTGTCTATAAAGTTTATCGATGATAACGAAGACGATGCTGCTGTATTATTATTTTCATTATTTCTACTGTACAGTTGAAGACGATTGGATGGTGCTAACGAGGGTTGTGATAGACAAGTAGGAGTCACCGCTTTTTTACTCATAAAAGCTAAAGATACCGATGGTGATGATGATGATGACGATGGTGAAGGTGAAGAAATAGTTGATGGAGTTAGCATTGAGGATGATTCGTTTGATGTTGTATGTGGACTAACTCCTGGTGATGTCGTAGTTGTCGCTGATGTCGGTGAAGTCGATGATAATGTTAATGATCCTAATGAGGATTGTGCCTTTATATGCTTAGAATTTAGTCTTATTAAATTATCAAGAGTATCTGTAGAAAATTGTGTATCACTAGTGTTAACTGGTGTTTCAATGTTTGCAGAATTGTGCAAATCTTTTTGTTTATGACTACGTGCCGGTAATGGAAGTACATTGATTGCTCCTGGTAAACGTGAACTACGACGTGGTGGACGTGGTAAATTATCGTAGAGATTTGATGATGTATTCACTGATTCTTGATCGTTTTTAGGCTAGAAAAAAGAAAAGAAATAATATTTGAGAACAATATAATCATTTCGAAAAACAGTATCTTTAAAACTGTATACACTAGTACAATAGACTAAGCTCATTTGAATGAATCGATACACAAAGATTAAAGTATACCATAAAATATCAAAATATTGATCTATAAGAATTTTATTTTCTTGGTGTTGATGTTTCAGTTTGGAAGTGATCAATGGCTAGTGGTGGTATCCAGGATGACATTTTTGTTTCATTTGACACTCATCACCTGGATAACCTGAAAGCAAGAGGTATTAGGTTCGAATCTCTTTGTGAATATCAGCACTGGGAATCATTTACATTCAGCTTAAGTCTCAAATGGGAGGGGGAAATATTTTCACGTCAGATGGTTGAAGGTGAAAATCTGAATCCGAGTGTACGATATAGATTATTCCGCTTACAACTAATGATAAAAATCTGTGGCAAAATAGCCTCATCTAGTCAGTTCACTCAGGATGCGCACATATGTTAATAAAAACCGGTCGAAATTCCTTCCTGAATATCAATAACAAGATCATGCAAACCTTTGCCAATCTTGGCATATAAGTATAGTTGTAATAATTAACACCAAATCATTCTATCCCAATTTGATGCTCAATCGTTATATCGATTGATTGAGTGCGTTCTTGCCCAGTTGATATATATGAACGTGCTGATTCCCGCCAATTAGAGAGCAGTGAATTATCGATCAGAGCAATGATATACAAAAGCCGTATGAGCAGTCTTGAGTACTTATCAGTCCTGCTATCTGCCTAGCCTAGCCACTTAGGTCCAGAACACCAATAACAGCTTCTGCAATATAAATCAATATTCACAAACATACTGGGTTTATATACCAAACAAACAGACCACATCGTACCATAAATTAAAAAATAATATTTATACAAGGTTCAGACAAATGTGGCTGTGAATAGGGGGAACAATAATTAATGGACTAGGGATAACTGAAGAATGGTAAGTCGTATAATACTACTTTATGGGTCAAAATAAAGCTCATAATAAAAGGAACATGAATATGAATAGTTTAGTCACTTAACAATCATACAATAGGAAATATACATATCACATTGGTCCATAAATAGTCCTCAAAGTTGCCATTCATAAACCTCCACGAGATATAACACGATTAAGTGTTCGTATATATAAAATAATGACTGGACTGTTTAGAAATCGAAGGAACAATAACAAATCAGAAGTTAAAAGTACCTAATACTTGTAGGGTGACTACTTTATCTGTTAAAAGTAGTCAATATACTAAATTTTAATACAAATGGTCAAAAATCATATACATTTAAACAAAACTCGTTGATGAAATGGTCGCTCAACTTCGTGGATTGGTTGAAGTTAGACATTAACACCGTTGGATGCCAGCTCAGTGGTCTAGTGGTTAAGTGCTCTGGCACGTGACTGGTGAGTCCTGGGTTCGAACCTCGCTAGTATGGATCGTGGATGCGCACTTCTGACGAATGCCACAATGGGACGAAACGGCCGTCCAGTGCTTTCAAGTTTTCCACGGTGGTCTAGCTTCAATCGACTCATGATTTCAATTATATATAAAGAACTCGTTTTGTTTAAAAACTAATAAGACGATAATCAATTGCGAACAGACAAAATATCATAAAAAATGTGAACCCTTTTTTTCATTTATTGCTTATGAGTCACACAATCGGTGTTCAATAAAAATTATGTTCAAACAAATTAAATAGTTAACAGACATGTTTTTCGTGTAGTTAATATTCAAAGAGAAAGCAATAACCAATTTTAGCATATAGATATTTGTGGATATTGTAGAAGTCCAATAGTTTGAATCACGAATTGATTTTGCTTAGAACATCGTTGAAATCTGATAACATCGAAAGACCATATCATCCCAGTATGGGACTCAGAAGGACACGCCCATGACGTTGTATCTGGGAATCAAACCTAAGACCTATACCTTAAACTATGAAAGCTATACAGTCTCCACAAATCTCCTTTTACTACTAATAATAATCGTTTGCTCACTAGTGACTAGTTTCAAAATGCAACCCTTGGAGTTTTAGTGAAAAACCGTTACTAGTGGGTGTCGGATATCCAGTTCAGATGTGAGTTGGTTATCCAGCATAACCAAAGGAAGTTGGTCGAGCGATATCATCAACTAATTAGAGTCAGATATTAGCACCAGTGGATGCCGGGTCACTTATATAGAGGTTAAGCGATCGTGAGGGAGATCGAAGTTCCTGGGTTTTGATTCCAAGATATGGAGTCGTGGATGTGTACTTCCGAGGAGTCCTATACCAAGACAAATTACCGTCTAGTGCTTCAAGGTTTCCGGTGGTGGTTTAGGTAAGATCTAAACTATGAAAATCAAGAATTCGATCAGATAATTTCTCCGGTTACTCGAGAATTTTGCTTGATTATCCATTAATGATCTTATGTTATTTAGAACTCTAGTCATGATGAATCATATTTATTAATTTACTTGTTTGCATTGGATCTGTAAAGTTTAGAAGCAGTAACGTATGCGGAAACATAGAAGTACATACAGGTAAGGTGAATATGGCTGATGTGTACACACAGAGACCAGTGAAGAGTGACACCGATAATATTAAACAGATCACATTTTCTATCATTAAAGGTTGTTTTGCTTTTAATCCATTTTAAGAAGTGCAAATATGACTGGTTTATAAACTAGCTTTTAGATATTTAACTGAAGTTTGTATCACGACCAAAAAATTGGAGAGTAAGTGTAGTTACAGTCATAAAGAAATAAACTGGTAACTGGGATGAAAAAAGCTAAAAAAGATCCCTTAATTATCGAAAGAAGTGACTTCGAATAGGACATTTATTTAATTAAAGGTTACGACTAATTGGTTTTGTAGATGTAAGGGGGGGGGTAAATTTACTAAGCGTCGGCTATTCGTAAATTTCATTGATAGTGTAAAATGTTTATCGAGATTGTTGAAATGTAAAGTTTACATCAGTAAATAACCTTATTAACATATAAGCCTTATAAACTGGGAAGCACTGGATAGTTGCTTCGTTCTAGTATGGTGCTGCTAACCGGTAAGCATTCATGTGCTAATTAGTCAATTATTTTGAGAGATAGTTTCGAAGTTTTCATGAGAAGCTGCGACTGATGGAATTCAACTGCATACGGAGTGAGACAGATACTCACTAATGACAATAGATGAGAGTCGAGTAACACAGGGAAATAGTTCAAGTTAGAGGTGTTAAACATAGCGTACTGACACAGTAGTCTGAAGGTGTGGTCGTGGATGTTAACTAACGAAGAGTTGCACACTAGGACGAAACAGCTGTCCAGTGCTTCCATGATATAAACTATAATATTAATTTATTAATTAAACATTTACAATCTTCTAAATTTAGAAGTTTGCAGTATAGATTATGGTCCCTTTATTTCTAAAAATCAAAGGTCTAAGCTCCAATATCATGTGTTGAATACTTCACATACTCAATAAACTTTTTAACTCAACTAATATGTATGCATACAGGATGTTGTGTTCTGAAGGCATCTTTATCACTAAAAGACCATTTGGTTACCAACATTATGTTGCTTTTATTGGAGCATCATCAATAACGCTTTCAAAAAAGACTTCTGTTGAAAGGTATGCACTTTGAGGAGGCATTAATTAAGTATATACAAAAAAAATACTAGAAAATAATTGTTTGATTATTTATAGAACCTTGAGACTTATGTCACAAGTGGTAGAATTTAACTGACAAGAAACCAACATCATCAATTTGGTCTACGACTGGCTAAAAACAGGGAGCGAATGTGCTTCAACAAAATGGTTATAGGTGGCACTGTACTCCCCCCACAAATACATATCATCAGCAACAAACTAGTGTGGGAGAAAACAAACTACGTTCCAACTGAAGAGGAGATTAAGAATATACGCTGGAAGTGAAAGACATACGTTGAGGAAATCATCAAACTGCTTTACGATATAAGCGCTAACTTGGAATACTGAAGGTAAAAGGAAAGAAAGGAGACCAAAGAACATATTGCATCGGGAAACAGGAGGTAGACATCAAAAGAATGACCAGCAATCGAAAACAACTGAAAAGGATAGCCCAGGGCAGAATTAGTCGAAGAATCTTGGTCGGCGGCCTATGCTCCCACGAAGGGTATAAGTCGTACGTAAATAAATAAGTTGTGTTGGGGATGGAATATCACAGACGTGAATTCAACTGCAAAAGTGTCAAAGTTCTGGACTAGAAAAATTCTAAGCATGCCACAGTATGTTTAGAAGCACGGCACTCGAGACAATCAATAATTAGTAGACATATTGATAGAGAACTAAATTATAGAGCCAAATGGTCAGAGGTATTTTAAATAAGACCGTCAATTTGAATACACTGACAAATAAAGACTACAAAATTCAGTAAAAAAGCTATTCACAAAGTTAGTAACACGAACCGATTTACGACTGATGGAATAACCATTGAGATAAATTCTATATGAAGTGCCGACAGTATTGTCCAGAATGACAACAAAAGCTTTACAATCACATCATATAACTCAGAGAATTCGGTAAAATCAAAAACTTAGATGTCATTTACTCCAATGTTTAGATAAACGCAAAAATAGATTTGCAGATTAAAAAATAAAATTCAAAGGAGTAACAAACACCAACGTACTACTGATGCTTTACACAAAGTCGCTTTAAATACTTCATTTGTATCATTGGTATTTGCTGGAATCGTCTGTGAATCGACATCATCTGAAGTTTCCGGAGTTGCTTTTGGAGGAAGACACTCTGATTGACTATTGGTTCCATTATTATTACTGCTTCTATTACCACCATTAATACAATTTGAACTAGATCGTAGCACTGTAGATTCACTTGGTAGTTTTGTACGCTTAGATCTTGCACGTGGTAATGTTCCATGAATACTAGCATCTAATTGATCATTATCCAAATTATCATTTGTATTAACTGGTGATTCACCAACTTTGTTATGATGATTAATATTGTTAGGAAGAGTGCCACTATCATTATTATTATTAGTAGTAGTATTGTTATTGGCATGCAACTCTAAATTACTCAATGTTAATTGACTACGTTTAGTACGTTGTTTCGCTTCCAATGCTAATTGTCGTATTTGCGTAACTAAAGCATCAACTGGTTGACCATTTGGTGGGCTACATCTAAAGAAGAATTTGCCATCACCAGTGGAACATCTTCGACCAGCATCAACACGTAGTACACCATTGGATGCACCAAATCTAAAAATGTACAAAACATTTGTTATTGTTAAATCTGAGTGGTTCATTAAAACAGATAGAACTTTTGGAACTCATTTTAAAATAAAAGTCTTGGATTCAAAACATTCATCCTGACTAATCACATTCAGTACTAGCAAAAAGAATTGAGGAAATTCGTATCTGAGTAGTAATGAGGGTTTTCTATACTTTCATGTAACATTCTCAAAGACTAAAAGTTCTTTCAAGCTAGAAAAGAACTTCCAAGATCTGGAGGTACTAAGGAGAACTAATCGTCAAATGATTAATATTAAAATGATTTTAATAATACGCTAGGTCGGCTAACTAAACTTAAAAATGTAAACTATAAGGAACTGGAACATACCATGAATTATGATTGATCAATGTGTTTAAACACTAACTACATACAAAGAAGTTAATACTTTTCTTAGAAGAAGAAATTCTATGTATTAAACAGATTACAACGCAGTCACTATTGAATTTAGTGGATAGTTTAAGCGGAAAGTTATTACACGTTACGTTATGATAATTGAGGTACCAAATGTCTCAAAATTAAGTGATTTCGCATTGATTTCAGGACTTGGTCGTAGAGAACCTTAAGCTAAACTCTGACCATTTACTTGGTGTATATCAAGTTAACAATGAAATTCTAGAATGGAGGTTTGTGGAGAAAGTAGTAATTTTTAATAGCTTAATTCATGAGTCGATTTAAGCTAGACCACCACTGAAAAGGTAAATTAATCTGTACGATTGTGATTGATTATCAGCCATTTCATCGAAAGTCTACAACCATTAGTTACGGTAATCTTGTGAACCTCAACTTGACAAATAAAACATACCAACACGATTCAGTCCAATAGTGTATGATTCGTTCACTGTGGAACTCAAGCCTATATAACCCAGCTTGAAGACTGAGACATTATCATTGTGCTAGTCAAGCCTTGACTGACTTTATATAGGACTGTGATATTTACAACTGGTCGTTCATAAAGCAATAACCAATTTTATATTTATCTAGTTCCTTATTGCTCATCAGATTCTGTCAGTCAATTTCCAATGTGATATGTGAAGCTGGGTGACACTTTTTCTAATCGAACAGGAAGAATCCATTTTCTCAAGATTACATATATGCTTAGTTGGCAAGTGCCGAATAGCACTGAATCGAGGTCAGATTAAGTATCCTGCTGACTATCTTACATTTCAGCATAGCCGTATCAGTCGACAGAGTTCCGTTAACAGCACTACAAGACTATAGAAACATAACATTGGTCATTAGTCAGTGATAAATCCATTGCAGACAATGGAACTTGTATAAAATTGAAAAAAAAAAATTAAAGACATTAATTAGATATGACGGTTGTAGCTTTCTTCATCACATACGAACAGAAACATACACGGACACACATAAAAAACATGACAAAGCATTAAACATATCCGAGATTCAAACTTTTCTAACATGTAAAAATTTCGAAAAAAGAACGAACAAACAAATCAACAAAGAAGCCTATTCACTAATTAAGGAAAAAGAAACTAAAGTGTACCTTATTTTTTACTTCATGTAACACATATATATATTTATATAAATAATTAACGTATTAGCTTATTAGATTCCAAGAAAACAACATTACCATACACCTGCCCCCTTGTGTTATACTATCAAGCTTGGCAACTAGTTACTTGTACTTCGTACAAAGTTTATTATTTATTATTATTATTGAAAGAGTTAACACATTTTATTATTTTTGTGTAACTAAGAGATAAAATCCAGTACATTCATCTATTTCTAGGTGAATACAAAGTTGAAGTTGGTCATTATTTCACGGTAGGTAATAACATAGTAGATATCTATATCAGTAAAACTATCCTTCAGTCTATGAAGGGAATAAGAACCAAATAATTTTTTTAAAAAAACGTCGGGAGTGACGTTAGGCATGAATGATATTATGATTATGGTCATTTTTTAAGAATTAAAAACAAATAGATGTCTTTATTGTTTATAAAATCTGTGATTAGTACAGTTGTAAGTCTGTAGTAAGCTATTAAAAGTGAATGTAAACACGAGGGGAATTAGCTTTTCTGGGGAAGAAAACAAGAAACTCACACTGGACTATTAATGACTTTAATTTTGTATCATGTGTTAAGTAATTTTACTGAAATAACGTCTGTTGTTTTATAGAAGTAAAATGAGGAGTCTCATAATAGGACGAAATGACCGTCCAGTGCTTTCAGGTTTTCCATGGTGGTCTAGCTTCTATTGACTCATGATTTCAACTATGAAAATACTAAATTCTCTAAAAAACCCTTCTGAAGTAAAAATGTGCCAAAAAAATTTGAAACTGGATGTAAGTTTATTTTAAAACATGAAGTGATTTTACGAATCTGATGCTTATCTAATTCTTTTAATCAGTTTTAGTGTCAACACTCGATATGGATTCTGTTATATCCTGGTGAAGACATCAGTACGGGTAACTCCCAGGACCTAATAATGGACTATTATATATATATATATATATATTCTTATTGTTTAACTATTGAGTAACTAGATTGTGTATATCTATATTCATCTTATTATAAGCTTCATTTTGACCTATGAATTATTACTGTACGGTTTATTGTTCCTATATTATATTCAGTATACTGATTACTGTATCTCACGTTCATAGCCACATTTGGCTTGATTTTGCACAAATATTATTTTCTATTTTATGGTGTGATGCGGTCTGTCTATCTGGTATATAAACCGAGTATGCTTGAAATAAATGATTCGCATAGATTCATATAGCAGAAGCCGTAATTGGTGTTCTGGACTCATTGAAAAGGGCTAGGCGGACAAGGGACCAATAAGGATACTAGACTGCTCATACCAGTTGGACGTCATTGATTGCCACAGTCTTGAGATTAGAAAAGTCGTATTTCCATTGGTGGATAGTTCACGTGATAAAAGCCGGACATAAAATCAATAACGAATTAGCATACGTCCTATATTCTTTATAAAGTCACAACAGATTCACAATAAAAATATATCTTCACAAATCACAATCATCTGTTTACTAGTGAATAATTTCAAGAGGTATTCCTTAGAGTTATAATGGGAAGCTATAATCAGTACAGTTCAACCATTGTCTAGGTGAGACATTTACACACTAATAAAACTGATTGATAGTTGAGTAACATCATAGATTGTTTACAGTGAAAAACCTCAACCATTGTACGTCGGATTCATTGATTTATAGGTTGAACGCGCTTTGCAAAATCTGAAAGTTTTGAGTTTAATCTCCAATGGAGGGGTTATAAATATGTATTACTGATCAGTCCTATATTAGGATGAAACATCTATCCAGAGATTGACTCAACACTAAAACTTTGTAAATTAAGTGGATATTGAAGTAATAATAGTATGTTTATTTTACAAAAAAGTAATTTAGTGTAATTTATAAAATAAATGGCGGCGCAATCACAACCTGAATAGTTCGGAAGTGACGTCTCAAACCGTTAATTTATGTTATGTGTATTCGAATTCTACGGAGGGAGAAAGTATCAGTTACATAAAAGTTCCTGGTACACCAAGCTGAAGAGTTACAACCAGTTTAAACCTAAGTTTAGGGTTTTCTGCCGACTCTCACCAAAACCTAGGACACCAAAACGTAACCCACTCGATGTTTAGTCACTTCGACTAGTGGCTATATTGCAATTTAATTGATAGGATTTGGCCAGTACTAAGGAAGTATACATAAATATGAAATCGGTTACTACTCAGTAATCAATGAGTTATTGGAATGTTGGTCAAAATTAAAAAAGATATCTACCATTACTACAGTCATCATTTACTATAAAAACGGAGTTCGACTGTAAATTTTCTTCTATGAAGCCAATGATTCTAGACTCTAGTTTGTCTAAAACCTTTTAAAGGCATCGATGTATGGACAGTAAAAGTACATGTGTTTGGCCACCGAGTGTGAAAAGACAAACACAGATTGCCAACTAATTACTATTTTGTGATTTTCTTCCTATTATTGATTCCAACTCTAGACTCACTGAATGTAGACTACTTGATATTGTATTCAATAAAGTATTGTCTACTTTATACTCTAGTTTTCTATTATTTGCTGTGAATCGTGTGTCTGGTTTAACATGATCCCGGTCTATGCATAGAATATTGATAATGTCTACAATATAGCGATCATATCATTTCAGTCATCAAATATTTCTATCGTATAATAGTAGTATAACATAACAAACAGAAAAATATTTTCATTTCTCTATTCTATCAGAAACTCTATAACTATTTATTGAAATCAAATTTGTGTTCTGATTGAAAAGTAACTGTACAAAGAAAAAACATATAGTATTACACATTAAGACAATATACTAAGTTTTCAATTGATCACCACTGTACACTCAAACTGGGAGACCATAAGTACAACGACTACAGGTACATTTTATTTATGGTCTTTGACCGACTTTGAAGAAACAATAACAAGGTTTAAAATTTCAGTTGGAAAATGATGAATTAACTGCACAATCATAGAAATGGTCTAGTTTTAAGATACTGTTTTATTCATATCTATGTGAAAATGGTAGATGTTCTATGCAAAATAGTAAAATAGAGAAAGCTGATTAATTTTGTGTAAATTGTATTTTTGAATGAATGATGCTATCAATAAAGATTGAAGATTAGCCGGTTCTCAATGTAATCATCAATATACGACAAATATTGAAGGAAAGATTCGGACAAGAAGAAAATTCAATGCTTAGTAATTGATATCAGTTAGTGATCGACATTAATTGAAGTCAACTCTCCTAAATAGAACATTAGAAATGTATTCAAAGTAGTATGAAGTTACATGGTTGTGAAGATTGTCTATCCTGGAGTCCCATAATAAGACGAAACGGCCGTTCAGTGCTTCCAGGTTTTCCATGGTGGTCTAGCCTCAATTGACTCATGATTTTAACTATGAAAATATCCTGAAATTACCTTTAAATAAAACCCGATATTGATTGGG